TCTCTCCTCTCTCACTCTCTCTTTGAAAAAAAAATGTAGATTTGGGCAATCTGCTCATGGCTCTACACAGGGTATTGTGTTTCATATTTATTTATTTATTTTCCCACTTTGTTTTAATGAAAGAGTTCTCACTTTATGGGAACACCTCTAGAAAACATTCTTCTCTTCCTCCCTCTCTCTCTCTCTACCCCCCTACCCCCTCTCCCCTTGTCCCCCTCCCTTTCTTCTCCTCCCTTTCTCCTCCTCCCTCCCTCCTTTTTGTGACAGTATATAACTGTCAGAATGAAGGTTAGTTGCCACCTCACAAATCTGTGTCATTCTTTTCATGTCATAATTCAAATATTTCCTATACTGATTCTTCAAAGTGACCTAGCTCAGATTCAGAACCATTGTTCACAGTTTTGCCTGCATGCTGTATGTAGCTTTCTGGGGAATCATGGCTATTCATTGTCTCCCAGGTGTCTGTGTACACAAAGTTCCCTTAAAGTTTAGAGCTGGGGTGAAGGGTGGGGTGGCAATCCCAATATGGCTTCTTGAAATTCCTCCATCTGAAACTGGATCCAACTTTTGGAACATTTCCAAGTTTTGGTGTGCTAGGAGCTAGTTGCTATTTCTGTGATGTAGACCAGAAGTATCCCGAATCTTGACTTAAGCCAATATTGAATTCTGCCTCTTAGAAGTTGATTTGCATTTATCTTTCTTTTATGGTCTTCTCTCAGTCGTTCCAGTAATGTAACCATCTATTAAGGATAGGGAAAAAAAATAAGAGAATTTACCAGTTTTTTTTTTTTTAATTAGTATTTTCAGTATTTTCCATAGTCATTCTTTTTTTATTTTATTTTATTTTTTGTGGTGCTGGGGATTGAACCTAGGGCCTTGTGTATGCAAGATAAGCACTCTACCAACTAAGCTATATCCCTAGACCTCCGTGGACATTCTTAATGTATTTCCTATGTTCGTACTTTTGTTGTTGTTGTTTGTTTTGGTTTTTTGGAAACAGGGATTGAACCCAGGGGCACCCTAACCACTGAGTGACATCCCTGCACAACCCCCCCCCCTTTTTTTCTTTTGAGACAGGATTTCACTAAGTTCTTAGGGCCTCACTAAATTGCTAAGTCAGCTTTTGAACTTGTAATCCTCCTGCCTTAAGACTCTGGAGCCACTGGGATTATAGGCCATCACACCTGGCTGCATTTCATATTATTGTTATGTGCCATCACACCTGGCTGCATTTCATATTATTATTATTTTTTTAATATTTAATTTTTAGTTGTAGTTGGACACAATACCTTTATTTTATTTATTTATTTTCATATGTGCTGAGGATTGAACCCAGGGTCTCACATGTGCTAGCCAAGCACTGTACCACTGAGCCACAACCCCAGCCCTGCATTTCATATTATTATACTTACTTAATATGACTCATAATCATTTAAAATACCATCTTTTGAAAGGAAATCTTTTTTTTTTTTTTTTTTTTTAGTTTAGATAGTCACAATTCTATTTATTTTTATGTGGTGCTGAGGATTGAATGGAGTGCCTCATACATTTGAGGCAAGTTCTCTCTCTACCAACTAGGCTACAAACCCAACTTGATAATCTGTTTTGAGATTGAATTTATTGGGATTGAATCCAGGGCCTTGGGCATGGTAGACTAGCATTCTAACTCAGGTCCACACTCTTCTTTGCCCCTACCCCCACCATTGTTCTTCTTCTTCTCTTTTTTTTTTTTTTTGAGAGAGAGAGAGAGAGAATTTTAATATCTATTTTTTAGTTTTCGGCAGACACCACATCTTTGTTTGTATATGGTGCTGAGGATCGAACCCAGGCCGCACGCATGCCAGGCGAGCGCGATACCGCTTGAGCCACATCCCCAGCCCCTCTTCTTCTTTTTTTTTTTTTTTTTAATAAACCTTTATTTATTTTATGTGGTGTTGAGGATTGAATTCAGTGCCTTATGCATGCAAAGCAAGCACTCTACCGAGTTATATTCCCAGCCCACCACTGTTATTCTTTTTCATAAAAAAGTATAATAGGTTAAATGATTTAGTGAGGAATTTTATTCATTTTCTGGCCCAGTCCACAAGGTTATTTACTTGACTTCATTTTCCTTGGTACATATTTCAACCTTAGGGAGTTATATTCTCTTTTGAATTTTGAAGACTTTGATTTGAGGCTACATACTTGAGGTTTGTAGGTATGTAATAGAGCTTGATAGAAGTCGGAGATAGGGTTTTAATGTTTTGTTCAGGCAATCTACAGAGGAATAAACTTCTTGGTTTTTATCTTTTAGTGTGGGAAGTTCATTTTCACCCATCCAATCCAGATCATCTATTTACTTGTTCTGAAGATGGATCCTTATGGCACTGGGATGCCTCCACAGATGTGCCTGAAAAGTCCTCACTCTTTCACCAAGGTAAAAACGCCTTTTTTTTTTTCTTATATGAAAATTTCCTTTATGATTTTTTTTTGTGGTGAATTTTAAGGATATATTTGGCAATGTTGTTTCTAAGCTTTTTTACTGCTAAGGTAAAATATTACTTTTAGTTGTAAATGGACACAATACCTTTATTTATTTATTTTTATGCGGTGCTAAGGATCTAACCCAGTGCCTCACATGTGCTTAGTAAGCATTCAACCACTAAGCTACAACCCCAGCTTCAGGCAAAAACATGTTAATGAAAATTCTTGTGTTATTGTATGCTTTTAAATACTAAATTGAACATTCTCATATATATTTTTTTTAATATCTTTATTTTTATGTGGTGCTGAGGATCAAACCCAGGGCCTTACCTGTGCTAGGCAAGCACTCTACCACTGAGCCACAACTCCAACCTGATGTTCTCATATTTTTAACATTAATGAATGACAAAATATGCCGGGTTTCTGTTCTCATGACTAAAAGGCTCAGGGGTTACTGCAGTTGAACTAGGCTGCGCAAAATAACCACACAAGAGACACAAATACCTTTTTCTTTGGGGTCGCTGTGACGGCTCCTCTGACTTTAAGGGTTCCCGAAAGGGAGAGAGTGCATGCGCTGACCCCTTTTATTGAGGAAAGCTATTCAAATGAGGCAAGGGGTCAGGTTTCAGAGGGCTGAGTCTTATCTTCATGATGTCCACTGTCAGCAGGTTGACTGACATCTGGGTAGGCCACACCCAAGGGGACATACAATAAGAGAAGGGACATACACAAGGCACTTCCATGGAAGATTCTACCCTAAACAGTGCAAGGGGTTATATTACAAAGGAACAGGTGAGCACAGCTTCACTCATGGGGCTGTAGCAAGACACACCCATGCATGAGACACCGACCCTCGAATCCAAGAAGGATGGGGAAAGCTCTGCCACATTTCTGTGACTGAGTGCCTCAGCACCCGGCAAGGAGTGAGACTTAGTCATGTGCAATGTTGGTCTCTCACAAAAATGTTTTCATTTTCTTGTTTTAGGGTAAATTTGAATATCATAGGGCTGAAATCTGACTGTCAGTGACTTATTACCATACTCCTGATGACTAAAAATGCTTAGCTGGCTCACTTCACTGAATCTTCAACCAAGATTCTTTGTGAGTGACTGTAACTGGGCCCTCAGGTGTAGGATAGGCAGCTCTTTTATAATCATATTGGTAAGGAAAGGTACATGCAAGAAGAAAATAGATCTTTTATGTATTAAGAAATTTGTTTCTGGACTGAGGGATATAGCTCAGTTGGTAGACTGCTTGCCTCACATGACAAAGCCCTAGGTTCAATCCCCAGCACTACAAAAAAAAAAAAAAAGAAAGAAAGAAAAAAGAAATTGTTTCTTCTTAGCTCAAAAAGACCTGTCTCCTGATTAAAATCAGTAGTGAGTAAAGCTCAGCCAAGAACTATGCAATTGTATTCTAGGTTTTTTATTTGTTTGTGTTGCCTTTTCCAAGCTTTGAGGATTTACCTATGGTTCCAAAGTTCATTTGTTCATTCATTCAGAAACCTTTACTGAATGCCTATCCTCTAAATGTGTTAGGGCCTACAATAGTGAGCAGGAAAAAAATGTTTCTATACATACAGAGCAAAATCTAGCTGACAGTTTTTAAGAAGTATAGCCTGGCAGGATGTGCATGCCTATAATTTCAGTGAGTCAGAAGGCTGAAGCAGGAGGATCACAAGCTCGAGGCCAGCCTCAGCAACTTAGCAAGACCCTATCTCAAAATGAAAAATAAAAAGCACTAAGGATATGGCTCAGTGATAAAGCACCTCTGGGTTCAATTCCCAGAACTGCAACCCCTCAAAAAAAAAAAAAAATATATATATATATATCAATAACAGCCCAATCAGAAAAATCCAAACTACCCAGAATATAGAAAGAGTTAGTTTCACATGTGTTAGAAGGACTGGAAAAACAAAAGGGAATTCAAGGAGTGTTGGTAGTGCAAATAGAAAAGGTGATAACCAGAAAGCAGAAATCATTAATACCTTTGGTGCTACATTATTGGAAATGCTGTTAAAGTTGATTCTGGATTAGCAGGAAAAAATGCCACCTCAACCCAGCCTGGAACTGCTGCCAGTGCTGCTGTTGCCAAAATCCTGGAGCAGGAAGGGAGCTGCTTCTCTCCTCCTACGCCTTCCAGTCACCCACATAGTGCCTCCCATAGTAGGGTCCATCTGGAAAGCAGATGGCAAGGGATCCTGGAAAATGGAGTTTGCAATACATAGTAGAGCACAACAAAAGGGACTGAAAGCAAAAAAGAAAGTAGCTGGACCAAATGTACTGATAAAAGGATAAAGGAAGAGTGAGGGGAACGACTCTAGAGTAGTCGGAGATACCACCTGACAGAAATAACATTTGTGAGGCCAGCCTCAGCAATTTAGGAAGGCCCTAAGCAACTTAGAAAGTTGTCTGAAAAAATAAAAAGGGCTGAGGATGTGGCTTAGTGGTTAAGTTCTCTGGGATTCAATCCCCAGTACCAAAAATGCAGGCCCATTTAAAGTATTATATAAAATTCTCTTCAGGTTATATGAATGGGGTTTATATGAAACATAAATTAATTTCATGTTTAGGCTTGGGTTTTAACCTTAAAATAGCTCATTACATTCCAAAATTTTAAAAATATTCAAAATCCTAAACATTTTATAGCCAAGCATTGAAGATAAGGATGTTTAACTTGTATATTAATTTGAACTGTATTTAAAAAAAAAAAGCAATGTAATATTTGGGAGCACAAAACAAGATAAACAGTAAAATGATGGAAAAAAATTCTGAAACTTCACCAGAAAAATTCTGAATAAGGGGACTAGTGATGTAACTCACTGGTAGATCCTATATTTAACATAGGCAAGCCCCTAGGTTCAGTTGCTCAGCACCTTCCCCACAAAAAATTCTGGACAGGTATGGAATGTATGTAACATGTATGCATGTCTGTAACTTCATTTATGGAGAAACTTAATAGTTTTATCTAAGCATATGTTAAGTACTTGTATTTTATTTCCCTTCTCTACTTCTACTGTGTTATATTTGAAATCTTACTTTTTTAGAAACCTTGGTTAGATTGGAAGTAAAATTATTTATTATATTTTGTTTTCTACTATTGCAAAGCATGATATTAGATACTGTGAAAAGGTAAAACAAACATAAAATATGCAACCTCCTCTTGAGAAAGTCTTGGATTTAGTTATGGAGAAGGGGCATGGAAAGTTAAATCATGGCAAAAGGAACTAACAAGATAGTAATGTTAAACACAGTGCTGAAGATTCTGGGATGGAAGAAAGAAACATGAATTTAGAGCTTCTTCAAAGATTTCTCAGAGAAGAAAGTTGAGCTGGACTTTAAAGGACCACAAGGTTTAATATTGTACATTTGATTTAAAATTAATAGGTTAATTTTAAATTAATTTTAAAATTATTATTATTATTATTATTATTATTAGTTGTGATGCTGGAGATCCAACCCAGAGCCTTGCATGTGCTCTTCAAGAGCTTTGCTTCTAAGATACATACCCAGCCCCTACACCTACTAATATTTAAGGATTCAGGATTTTGTCTTACATTACCAACACTTAACATAGAGCCTGACACATAGTAGATACTCACCTATGTGTTGATGGAATGGTATATGAAATTTTCCCTTTTATGATCTGAAAGAAAGTTGAAAAGAATGAAAATTGCAAATAATAGCTGATATTTTGTCTTTGCCTCATTTAGTTCTATATTAAGTGCATAGCACTATTAGGAATGTTTATAATCTAGTCATGTTCTAAAGTTTTCCTTTTAGTTTTCCTTCTAAAGTTTCCTTTATCTTAAAAGGGTAAGAATAAAAGATCTAAAACAAATTGATTATACTTAGAATCATAGAAACATTTAAAAATACATTAGGAAATATTTACTTAGAAATATATACAAAACAAACAGAAATTTTTTGTGAACATTTTATTTGTTGTTATCCAAGAGCTTTTATTTGTTATTATTTATTTATATATATTTACATATTTATTCTACTTATCCTCAAGTCTTTGTTGCTTCCCATTAAAAAACAGAAAGAAAATAAACTATCTGCTTTACATGATGATTTAAAGTTAGGTATCCATATTTTCCCCTGGAAATTTGAGTATTTAATAATACTGAATAAGTCTTTGGTAAAAAATGACAACATGTGATCATGGAATTATCTGCCTGTCATTCTGAGAATTAATACAAGTTGGACTCATTGTCTTTCTGAAATATCAGTAGAGGTTTAGATGTATACTAACATAAAATTAGTCTTGAAGTCTTGAATTTTTCCCCCTTTTTCTTTCAGGAGGAAGAACCGGTACTTTTTTGACTCATAGCATTAGTAACCAGGCTAACGTTCACCAATCTCTTATAAGTTCCTGGCTCAGCACTGATCCTGCGAAAGACCGTATTGAAATCACAAGCTTGCTTCCCAGCAGGACTCTGTCTGTGAACAGTTTGGATGTTTTAGGTCCTTGTCTTGTTTGTGGAACTGATGCAGAAGCAATATATGTTACCAGACAACTGTTTTCATGAAAATACTGGGATTATAATATTTCAAGTTAAATATATAGTTAGCCCTTTGAATTACAACTTCTGTGCAAAACTTTATTATTGAAAAATGTGATATTTACAGGGGTCGTATCAGTAAACTATTGTTAATATCAATGCCCAATTTGGGCATTTGTTACTTGGGTATTCCTACAACAGTTACAGAATCTGATAGATTGCTGATGGCATAAGATTTTGAACATGTGGAAGAACATCAGAGGGATCCTTGTACTGATAAATAACATTGCTTTCAAACAGAATATTATTGACAATTCCTGGAAGCAACTGTTCATTTTTAGTGATGTAGGATTTAACATTAAACCACCAATGAGTTCCTATAATTTTTATTCCTATAACATTTTCTTATTAATTTTCATAAGTTTTTCAGGAAAAAGTGAGTAGAGCAAAACAACAAATTTATAGTTGTGTTCAAATATTTTTATTATTATTTTCTGTGGATCAGTGGATGTTGCTGGGGACTGAACCCAGGGATTGTGCATGCTGGGCACTCTACCATTGAGCTGTACCTGTAGCCCCATAAATTTTTTTAAAAAATGAAAATATACATGTTATCTTTGTAGATGCACATTTTCTGGCAGTAAGCACATTATCATCATTTTGAACTACTAAATATTCTAAAGTATAAATGTATAATAGTATATTTTACTTAATGGCATATTACATTCCATGTTCACACCTTTCACTGTTTATGATTATACTATATTTAATTTATATTTCTTGTTTGTATTCTTAGCCATTTTTATTTTTGGAGGCAATTTAGCATCTTATTAATTTTTAACCTTTTATATATGAAGAATATTTTGCCTGTGGTCCTATGATACAGGCAGCTTTTAATTTAGCTTTGGCTTTATTCATGGGGCTTTTTATAGAATTAGGCATTTTGTATATGGTCAATTCAATTGATTTCTTTACACTTTATGCCCTTTGCATCATGCTATCCCTATCCTAAGTTTATATAAATGTTTACCTATCTTTCCCTCTATTTTGAGGTTTCATGTTTTATGTGTAATTATCACATTTTGAATTTATTTAGTGACGCCTGTAATCCCAGCTACCAGAAACTGAGGTAGTAGGGTACCAAGTTTGAGGCCAGCCTGTGTAACTTAGCAAGAATGTCTCAAAATAAAAAATAAACTGGGAATGTAGCTCAGTGGAAAAACATCCATGTTGAATGTACCACACTCACATACATCTGAAAAAGAATTGGTTGGAGGGCGGTCTTAAGGATTGAACCTAGGGCTTTATGCACACTAAGGACAGTAAATTCCCCATCTAGCTCCCTGAAAATTTTTTTTATACATTTTAAGCATAAAAATAAAATCATTTAATGAGCCCAGGTTTATCAGGAAACACACCCAATTTTCGTTTCTGATGTCATTCACTCCCCACCACCCCACCTCTGCTCTGGATCATTTTATTTTAATTTTGGGGGGGGGGGAAGTACCAAGGATTGAACTCAGGGGTGCCTTGCTGTTGCTGAGGCTGGCTTTGAACTTGGATCTTCCTGTCTTAGCCCTCCAGTGCATGCTGGGATTACAGGCATGTACTGCTGCATCCAGCTTGACCATTTTAAAGCAAATTCCTGATAATGTGTTATTGATCATTTACTGTATGTGTCCTAAGAACAAAAACCCTCCTTTTTTTTTAAAGCACAACACCATTATCATTCCTCTAATAAATTATTCTTTAATACTGTTAAATATTTAAGCAGTGTTTTAAATTTCCCAGATTGTCTTATGAACATTTTTATAGTTGATTTATCAACAGATAAAGGCTAGACTATTACATGTCTCAAATTACTTTAAATTCACACCCCTTATTTTTTATTTTTCTTTGTTACTTTTTGTATGTATCTACCTCAGCCTCCTAAGTAACTGCGATTATGGATGCATACCACCATGCCCGCCAAGTTCTGCCAATTAGTAAGAAACATAAGCTTTATTTAGTATAATGTGGTAATGTACCAATTTATTTATGGAATTAATCACATTTTCTTTTGAAGGCTACAGGATATCAGATGAAAGGTACCTTGGAGGCCATTTCCAATCTAAATGTGCTCATCCCTCTGCAGCAAGTGCAACAAATTATTGTCCAGTTTATACTTAAAAACATATCCCAAGATGAGCATAGTAGCTTATGCTTGTAATTCCCAGCCATTGGGAAGTTGTGGCAGGAAAAATTGCAAGTTGGAGACCAGCCTCAGCAATTTAAGAGACTGTCTGAAAATAAAAAAATTTTAAAAGCTGGGGATTAGCTTAGTGGTAAAATCCCTACAGTGCACGCTGGGATTACAGGCATCTTTTTTTGCCCAGTACAAAAAGTTTCCCATTTCACTGTGCAGCTTCTCATTTGGACAGCTCTAATTGATGCAGCATTGTGACAGAGTTTCAGTTTATGGGTAAGATCCAAAACAATCCTGTAAAATGGTAGAATGGTTGTGGGTTAATGATATTATGATTCTGTTATGAAACAAGCCAACTGCCAATTTTGTTATATTTGAATTTTCATTATGTTGGGATGCCTCAATGTGGATTTTCACTAAATAAAATGAGTTTTTATATTCTGAACTGAAATTTGCTTCCTTTAATCTTATCTCAAGAGCCATAAAAAAATCACTTAATATTCAGATATTCAAAACTATGTATTGTAGCTTCTTCAGGAGGAACCTTTCTAATTTATCCTTTTAGTGGTTCCTTGTGGGCAGGGTTCCCTTCCCAATTTTTCTTGGATTCAATCTACTTTAGGACTCCTTTAGGATATATTTTAGGTGTCATATTTCCTCCAGAAAGCCTTCACTGACTTCTGACAATTTGAGCTAAATTGTTCTCTGCTTCAAAAACCCATTGTGCATAATTTAAGCAGACTGTCTCCCCCTACTGGGCCACAACAAGAACAGGGGATATGTCTTCTGTTGCATTAGCATATTTAACAGTATGATCCATAGTAAGCAGTGAATCACTATACTTAAACAGAACTCACAATCTTGTTTTCCTTTTAAGAAATAACTTGTTTGCCTAACTCCCTGTTTTAAGTGTGACTTCAAAAAACAAACACTTTTCTATGAGGTGTCTGCCTTGCTGAGAGTATGACAGAAACCTTGCCATCCTTGTTCTGGGTACAGTATTCTTTTGGAACGCTGTATCAGCTTATTTTAATTTTTGAAAATTAGATTGCTGAGTAGTTGAACTTAAATCCCTAAGTTTTCACATATGAACTTCTAAGCACATTTTCCATATTTTTGGGTTAATGCAGATGGTTTCTGATCCTTATTATATACCTATTATTGTTCTAAGACAAATTTCATTTCAGCATAAGAAAGAACAATCTCCTTTGCCTCTTCTAAAGAAGCTACTTTCAGAGTTGCCCAACATGCCATCTACACTTTCATCCTGTTAGGAGATACATGCTAAATGAACCAAATTTCTTGGGCCCTTTGCATGATTCAATTATCAGTGACACATAAACCTTTGGTATTTGGTTACAAGTATTAAAATATTTATGGACAAACCTAATTTATTGACATGTCTTTCCATTTATCTTTTTCATAAGGCTATTTTGAGAAAATAACTGCAATATCAACCTATCAAAAGTTGGGAATAACTGAAAAATTCCTTGACCTTTGTGAATATATGGTGGAAACATCCTTTCAATAATCCATTCCAGAATCTTAGATAATAAACATACCAAGTTCAGTATGTTATGGCGAGCCTTCATTTAAGCCTATGGTATGAATATGGAGCCCATGCTAACAGAAGGTCTAAAGCAGTAATAGTGCTCATGTTTTACAGATATGAAACCTGAGGAGAACCAAAATATGGTATGCAATTCCTTGATCTCTTTTTAGTTGGTATCCTGAACCATTAATGTGAATTGGCAATGTTGAACAACTGAAAGCTGGTTTCTAAAAGTCATCAGCATTGGAACAATTTCTAGTAACATTTGCTACATTAAAGGTTAAAAAAAAAAAAAAAGGGCAGGTGGCACACACCTGTAATCCCAGTGGCTCATAGACTGATGTGAGTTCAAAGTTAGCCTCAGCTATGGCAAGGCAGCCTGCAACTCTGTGAGACCCTGTCTCTAAATAAAATATAAAATAGGGATGAGGATATGGCTCATTGCCCCTGCGTTAAATCCCCAGTACCAAAAAAAAAAAAAAAGAGAGAGAGAGAGGGCAGGGAACCACTCAGGATATGGGGAAGTAGAAAAACTATAGATAGATGATCAGGTTAAAAAACAATAATCAAAAATTAATGTTCAGGGCTGGAGTTCAATGACAGCACTTGCCTAGCATGTGTGAGGCACTGGGTTGGATCCTTAGCACCACATACACAAATATATAAAATAAAAGCATGCTGTTCATCTACAACTATAAAAAAAAAGTTGAAAAAAAATAATGTTGAGGGCTAGAGATGTAGTTCAGTGGTAGAGTACTTACCTAGCACGTGAGAGACACTGGGTTTAATCCCCAGTACTGAAAGAAAAACAAAAACAAATTTGTGCTCAATTCCAAACTGTCATGACAACTTTAGCAGACAATAGGTGATAGACCAGCACAACTCAAAGCCATCAGAAATGCATTAACTCAGCTGGGCACCACAGAGCACACATGTAATCTCAGCTGCTCTGGAGGCTAAATTAGGAGGAACCCAAGTTCAAAGCCAGCTTCAGCAATTTAGCAAGACCATCTCAAAATAAAAAACTAGCTGAGGATGTAGCTCAGTGGTTAAGCACCTCTGGGTTCAATCCCTGGTACCACCCTCCTCCCTAAAGATGCATTTACTCTCAAAGTTAATTTTTGTATAGGTCATGGATTTATGAGGCTAAATTGTAATTAATACTAGACTATAAAATAACAATTTTCAACAAGACAAACCCTTGCATAGGATAAATTAAACTTAAATCTCTTGTCAACACAAAGTCTGAGATTGAGCTCCAGCACCTCAAAAACTAAACAGCAACCAAAAAAAAAAAAGTCCCTTAGAGAAATCCTAGAAGCAATGATACCCAATAGCAGTCGCCCACTAGAACCCAGATTTGGTTTTAAATACCATTCTCCAATAAAAAGAACCAGGGCTCATTAGAAAGTGATGATTCCAGGATGGGACTGATATATGAGATAGCTTGGAGTATCTTGTAGTGGTGTATGACAAAGATACAGTAGCCAAATGAAAGCCACTAATGGGCAAAACTGGAATGATTCGAGCAAAAAATAACTGAAGTATAAAATATCCGGGGTCCATAATGATATAAATATACGAATAGTGGAGGGAGTGGCAAAGTAAAGTCAGAACAGAAATCCAAGTAATTTATTGAAATTTTCTGCCCTCAAGGAGGTAAAGCATAACTCTCCATTCCTTCTGTGTGAGCTGTGCTAGTCTTCCCCCAAGATTATATTAATTTCTGGGAGGTCCTATGTTCTCAAGGCCATACTGATTTCCAGACTAATTCCATATGTACTTTTGTACCTCCCTACTGTAGCTCCTATTCCTCTGATGCATCAAAGGCTGGATTAAGGGTTTTTTTCATCATGATAATAAAAAACCTTTAAATGCAATGCCATTTTCAAACATCCAGTCTTTCCCTGGCCTTTTATCACCATCAGCACCCACAGTCCCAACAACTTTGCATTTTAACTGTTCTTTCCTGATCATTTTTTAAAAAATTTTAATTGTAGGGCTGGGGATGTGGCTCAAGCGGTAGCTCGCTCGCCTGGCATGCGTGCGGCCTGGGTTCGATCCTCTGCATCACATACCAACAAAGATGTTGTGTCCGCCCAGAACTAAAAAATAAATATTAAAAATTCTCTCTCTCTCTCTCTCTCCTCTCTCTTAAAAAAAAATTTTTTTTAATTGTAGATGGACATATCTATGTTTTATTTATTTATTTTTATGGTGGTGCTGAGGATAGAACCCAGTGCCTCACACATGCTAGGCAAGTACTCCACCCAGTGACTGAGCTATAACTGCACATTTCCTAATCATTTCTTCTTTCCTCATTCTTCTCACCCCTTACAAATACTAGCCTCCCAGACCTGTGTTAAACAATTTACTGAGCTCCTTGAATTATCTAGGAATTTCCCCAAAGACAATGGTTTATGGAGATATTTTCCTTTAGGTTTACAGAGCTTGAGAGCTTAAGTGAAAAAGTTCCATGGGTTGGTAACAGTGACAAGATTCTGGGGGTAGTGTGTCCTTCCAGTTAAATAACCTCTGAACAGAGCAAGTAAGCCCTTACATACAGCATAGAATTTTAGGGCCAAGTGTGACCCTACAGGTTACTTAGTCCTCCTTTCTTTCCTTGAAGAAAGCTTCTTAATGACACTCCTGAAGCCATATCCGCTACATCCTACAAACTCTGTGATTGTATGGGAATTTTTAAATTTGTTTTTTTTTTTTTTTGTGCCAGAGACTGAACCAGGGACTTATAAGGTGAACTCCTAGCTGAAATGTTTTATTTATTTATTTCTTGCTTGCCATACTGGCAATTGAAACCAGGGCCTGGCAGTGTTGGGCAAGAGCTCTACCAGTGAGCTACATCCACAACCCTTTTTGTTTTTTTCAAATTTTGAAACAGGTCTCACTAAATTGTCCAGGTTGGCCTTGAATTTATGACCTTCAGGACTCAGCCTCCTGATTACAGGTTTGTTCTGCCTGAAGTGGAATTCTTTTTTTGGAGGGGGGTGGGGGTGGTACCAGGGATTGAACTCAGGGGCGCAAGGTCACTGAGCCACATCCCCAGCCCTATTCCGTATTTTTATTTAGAGACAGGGTCTCAGTGAGTTAGTTAGTGCCTCACTTTTGCTGAGGCTGGCTTTGAACTGGTGATCCTCCTGCCTCAGCCTCTGGAGCCACTGGGATTACAAGCGTAGCCCAGCTTAAGTGGAATCTTTTTAACAGAGGTATTCACATTTGAATTTAGGGATACAGTAGCCAGTAATTAATTTAACTTGATAAAAAGTAGCCTTTAATTTTTATAGTTAGTCTAGTACAAATATGTCAAAAGGAGATATCTGAAAGTACTAATAGTTTCTATTTTCAAGAAGCAAAATTGGCAAAGATGCTCTTCGTTGCAAAGAACGGGCACTATCTTCCAACACCACAAACTAAATGACTCCATCCCAGACTTACAATTAAGTTTAACAAGAAATAGAGCCCTCTTCTCACACGGCCCCCGTTATTCCAACTGTGGCAATAATGACCTCCTCTTCTAGGATGAGGCGGACACACCTGAACTCTGTCACCGGTCGGTCGTGGTTGGCGACACTGTCTGGCTGGTTCAGAAAACACACGTGCTCGAAGCTCACTAGACTAGAATCGGATTTTATTTAAGCCCTCGGATCTCTAATCCTGATGTCCACAGCGAGGTTTCCGAGCGCCACTCCCGGCCGCTTCCAGAGAATTGAGCTCCTGGGGACGCGACTCCCTTCTCTCCGTCCGGATGCAGAGCTCGATTGGCTGAAGGAGCGACTGCGTACGCCGAGCAAGCTCGGGCGGGGAGTCTTGGGCCGCGCTCGCGAGCGGGTCCAGCGGGCGCGGCAGGCGGAGCGTAGTGGGGCGACGCTCACCCACGCGCTGGACGGCGGGCCACCGGCCCGAGCAGGGAGGCCGCAGGCGGCGCGCTCTCTCCCCGCGGCCGGGCAGTCAGAAGCCCCCAGTCCTCGGCCCCCGCGCAAGCGACGCCGGGAAATGCGCACATCCGGTAAATCGCAGCGGAGTGCGGCCGCGGCGACGCGGAGTCGAAGGCAAAATGGCGGCGGCGGCGGC